TTTAGGTACGGTAAGCAGTACGAAACTTACATGGCTGCCGGCATTATGGGTCTCGTCAATGCGGTTCTCTACTTTATCAGCGCGTTCTTGGCTCACCGATCATATCGTGGCATCTAATCTCGCCGAGCTGACCACAAGAAACTGGATTCCCCCTGGTGGTGTGGTGACGTTTCCAAAGGTGTTCATTGCAGGAAATCGTCTTTTATGATGGTAAATTAAGTTAAAATAATTTTGTAGTTGTATTTATGTTCTAAGTAAAAAACACAAAAAAAAATTAGCATTTTTATAGCCATACGCAGTCTGTGCTAAAGTGAAAAGCGATTGAATTCGAAAAACCAAATACACATACACACACACATATTAACTAACTATACACATTTTTTCTTTTTAATGTACTCGTACAATTAAGTAATATACATACATATATTAATTGTAAGTGCAAATGAAAATTTTTTATGATTTTTACAAATACTCGTCCAATGCATACATTATACAATTATACGATATTCTAACAGAAATAAATATTTTGTGTAAAATGTATTTTTATGTAATTTTCGAATAAAAACTTCTCAAAGTTTATTTTTCTTTAGTGGTATCAAATTCAAACGTTTGGGAATGAATGAAGTAAGTGTAAAGCCCAAAATATTTTGTTTTTCGTAAAAACAACCACATTAAACTTTTTGTCCTTCGTATTTGATAAAGAAAACAGTTTCAGTTTTTTTTTTTTTTTAACCAGCGAAATGTCGTTGTCTGTGAGTGAAATATCGAAAGCGATTTTGTGTTGTTTTTTTTTAAAGCTATTTTCACACAACCAAATTAAAGTGAATAATAATACTGGTTTACAGCAAAAATGTTCAATGGATGCCACTATTGCTCGCTTATTCCGAAAATCGAGTTAATTTTTTTCTGTGGATAAGATTTCGAGGTATTTGCAATTTACCGTTATTCAGTTAAAAAAAAAGTGGTTCCACTTAATCACGGAAAAAGGAATGAGTGGTCGAATGAAAATGCGTAAGGATTTTTTGTATGAAAGATGAGCAGTAATGAGTGTACAAGGCGTATGAGTAACATTATTTCCTGTTAATTTTTCTTACAAAAAAATCTTTGCACATTTTTTTTTATTTGCTCATCGATTTTTTTCATTAGTAGGATTTTTTTAACAGTTCAAGCTTTAGCACAATTTAAAAAATTTAAAGCGATTTGTAATTTTTAAAATTTTTTCTGAATTTGAATTGTATAATTGTTTTAATTCTTTCGTTAAAAAACAAAAGATCTGATTATTAATTAATTTCCCAGAAACCATCAGGCTTATCGAAAAGTGCTTTCATTTGCCGTACTTCATATTAAAATTGCTAAATAAATTAGTTCGTAAGGTACACGTAACGTGACGTGATGAGCCCATTAATGCAAGTTCGGAGTTAGTCAAAAATCGCATTGATTTTTGAGATTTTTGTTTGTTGAAGGTGTTTTGCAATTTTCCCATATGAAGTATTTTCGAAAAATTTTTTTGTATTACAGAGACTGCGTGAAAAAAAAATTGCCTAAAAATCAACGGTAATTACTAGCTACTTAAAACCTGTACCTTATTGTAATAAAATTGATTGGGCTACACATCTGCATACTCAAAAAAAATTCTAAAAAATCTGATTAAAAAGTTGAAAATTTGCATGAAAATTTGCTGAATTTTCGCGAGTTTTGCATAAAGTTTAGGAATTATATTTTTATGTTTTTTGTTGTGGAATAAACTACATTTTTGTAAAAATTGCCGGAAAAATATTAGAATACAAATTTTTGCATATATTGTGAAAAATTTGCTGTGCCAATACTTTGTTCCGGCAGTGTATGCATGTATTTTACAATTTCAATTGCATAAATGTAGAGTTACATAAGTCCGGTAAAAAAAAACTTTCAAACTTGATTTCCCAAAATTTTAACTTTCACACATTCATGTTTTTGGCATACGGGCGGCGATATTACAACAAGTTTCATGAAAAGAGCCATCCACAATTCGCAGTTTTGAGATTTTGTAAGAAAAGAAGAAATCAACTTCACTCTCTTTAAGTGTGTATATTTAATTTAATTGTATTTATTTTCGGTTAAATATAGAGCTAATTATGTGATATACAAGGGTAAAAAAAATGTAAAAGAACACAAATATGTTTTCTTGTTTATCATTGAAACGTAAGACTGTCACGTATGTGACCTATGAAAATATCCATATGCATGATTATAGGGTCCGTATAATTGGTCATAATTAGAGCATGGATTCTCATGTTAAAAAATAGGCCTAAAAATATGTACCCATAATTACTATAAGCGAAGTGTTTATCAATTTATATAGTCAGCGTAAAAAATATGAATTATATTTTTATAAAAAATTAAGAAAAAAATTTGGTATGGAAAACATAAATAAAATTGTCAAAACGTCGGGGTATTCATATTTTTGACGCTGACTGTATTTTGTTTATAGTTATGATGGCACATATTTTTAGGCTTTTTTTTTGCATACAAATCCGACCTCTGTCATAATGAAACATCACTATTGATTCACATACAAACCATGAACCAACGACTACAGATCACCTAATCAGCCATCGTTGTATTTGTAATCGATTTTCAGAAAAAAGTTTTCGTAGCGTTTTTGACGTTTTTCGGTTTTGTTTACACCGTCTTCTACCTCTTCGTAGTGATTTTTTAGCGATTGAATGTGTTTTCTGCAGCGATTTTAATTATAAATTTTGGTTTATTACATATTTATGATATAAAATAAAGTGCTGTGTGATCGGAACAAGTTTGTGCGTATGTTTGGTTTGCCAAAAGGCGTAAATTTGCGTGAAAAGTGGGTGCACGTTTGTGACCAGAACGTTGGCATTGAAAAATCGACCCGTGGTAATGATATGCGATTGTAAAACACTTTCAATCATGAAAACCATATTTTATGAACTTTTTTTTGCTAATTGTCATCAAGTTTCACTTTGTATATTTAATAATAAATACCAATTTAATCGCACTCAATCACCGCGCCTTTTTCGTTTTCTTTGTTTGTTTTCATTCTTAGGCAGATGTCAAAAACACTCAGAAATATACTTTTTTCTTGCTTCTTTGATTAGGTGATCTTGTATTTTTGGTTCATGCATACAAACATTACACTCCGTTTTAATTTATTTTCATTTCCGTCCTCTTCGAATTACACCTACAGTTAATATTATATTAACAATTAAGAGTATTAGATGCGCCAAAGCGCCTAAACTCATGCCCATATAAAGTAAAACCAAATCGATAGTATCAAACATGTCAGGCTCGAACAAACCGTATATAAGTTCTCCGGAATATTGCAAATCGAATAAAACCGCTGTTGCGACGCCCAAAACAAACATAATCCATAATACAATAACGATCTAAAAAAACAATAAAAATGTTAACTGAATAAATCAATCATGAATGTCGTTTCGCCAACAAATACCAGTATGCGGACATGTAGACGCGTTTTCGGATAGTTTGAATTGTAAAACCATGTACTGCAACCGAATATCAGACAGAGCACCATTGTTGTAGTTAGCGAGCACTGATACATAACAATTTCATGTCATCCGGAAAGGATATGACCATCGAGAATAGCAGCACGGCAGGCAAGCAGAGTACCTGTGATGATGAGATAATCGTTTTCAACCCATTGTTCTTCCCCACATTAACGCAGTGAATACCATACCGCAACCGCAATCTGTAGAATGGAGGCTATTTCTTTCACTGAAAGACATTTCATTTTTAACGCAATTTTTTCTTAAAAATTTATCGTATATGTATGTATATTTTCATAAATCGAACAAGTTTTGTGTTAACTCACTTTTTTGACAATTATTTTTACAGCCACTTTGACTTGTTTCTTTGTTTCCAATGCAAGATTTTACAGTGGTTTCCAGAATTATTTAATTTGAGTAAATTAATTGTTTTATTTATTAAAGAAATTGGATTTTTAAATTGTACATAAAGAAATTGGCATATTAACTATTTTATTTTAAGTATAAATTAAAGCAAATATTTAAATCTGACGTAGAAAGTAGAGAACAATCGGAAAGATTTTAAATGCTTTTATTACTTGGTAATAATAATTGAAGAATAATTTTTTTTAAACTCCATATTTATGGATATACCTGTTGTAAACTTTAATTAAATTATTGGTGCTTTCTAACGAGTATGTATGCACTTGATTACAAAGAGTGTATTAATTCCTAATGTTCAACGAAAATGTACCTATCAACAAAACAATGGTACAAAGAGTGTTTTAATTCCTAATATTCAATGAAAATGTACCTACCACCAAAACAATGCTAATCCATACAAATTTGAATACAAAAAAGCATTTTTGCCACATTTCGCATTTCTTGTTTTTAATCTGTAATATGTAATAACAACACTTATAACTATACTTTTTATACTAAATAAATCAATAATTGAAAAATTTTCATTGTCCTTCTTCGCATAAAAAATAAAACAAATTCAATTAGCTTAGCAACAAAAACTTCTTTCGCGTCTCAATAATAAGTTTAGAATTTAGTAAAGTATAAGTTTAGAATTTATTTATATATAGACTTGTAACAAAAATTTCGTCCTATAACCTAGAAAAAAGTAAAGCATCTAGACATACAGTGAGTACCTAGTATACATATAAATGTATATACGTACGTATGCTTGCGCTTAATCAAACAACCCTTTAATAATACATATAAATTACAAGGTGAAGAACACACTAAAGTGGTCACATAAACTCTTCACTCTTCTCGGTTTAACGCAATTTGTATGTATTACGCACAGGGCGTAACTACGCTTACTAATAATTGGAATAATAAAAGCTTTAACAGCAACAACAATATTATGGAATTAGTACGTATTTCATAGAAAAAAAGTAGTGTATTCCAAAACGTCAAAATACAAAGTATCAGGCTTTTTTATTTCTAAACCTCAGCAGATTGTAATGCCAAATGTGCGCAACCACGGTTAGATGCTAGTTTTCAACTAAACTGATGCTTTGTATTTTGACGTTTTGGAATGCACCCAAACTATGGACTATGTAAAAAAAGAGTTGTTCAAATTTTGCTACTCCATATTAAAATAGCCGTTGCAATAAAATTAATTGTTCAGTAAAATTCTTAACTAAAACTTTTCAGCCTTCTTCTTTCTACTGACAAAATTTCGCGCCGATATTGTTTACACGTGTCTTCATATGCTGCAGTATATCTTCGGCAAACTCCTCCACAGTTGTGTAACGACTGCTTTGAAAACTGAAAATATCTGCTAAAAAGCCGAGCATTTGATCACGGAAGTAATGGCAAATGTCACGCAAATTTTCATCGGGTCCAAAGAAACCCCAGGCCATTAAGGGTGATAATTGCTCTGAAATGTTATAGAAGTGAGCCATAAAGCCATTCGGGTACTTGAGGCCATGCTGTTTAGCTTTTAGTACAGACCAAACTGCTGTGCTTAGTGCCTATGAAGAAAGATATAAGTAATAAATTAAAACAGCACCTAAAAGTATGCAACAGAAGTAAGTAAGAGCCAATTGGCAAACATGCATACATCTGCAAAAATGTTTATTTTATTGTTGCTTGTAGCAGCATAATGCATTGCATCGTTCTGCTTACCATTTCTTTGAATCCGTTCGAAAGAAATCGATTTTGTACGACCGCTGTAACGCTTGCGGGTGGTGCGTCTAAATCCCTAAATGAGTCCAACACAATAAAGTCGAGGCAAATGTCATAAAAAGTCATTGCTTTCACATTACGCGCTTCCAATTCTTTTTGTATTTCATCCCAATTATTAGGATTCTGCAAATAGTTGATCATATCCTCGTAGCCCACCAGAAACTCTTTGGTATCTTTATCGCCTAGACAGAGCAGATCGGTGAGTATTTGGCGACCCGTATCGCAAACCCATTGGCCGATTGAGGGATCCTGTAAATACGCAGATATGATAAATGAAACTACTTTATTATTTAAGAACTCACTTTGAATAAATATTGAAATGCCAAGCGTACACAATGCAGTTTAACCAGATATTCTGTATCACTCGAACAGTGCACCAGGTCAGCGCGAATAGTACGGTAAGGAATAGGCGTTTCTTCGTGATGTTTGAGCGCCGCATTGTACAATGGATATTGTTCATAAGATGTGTCCACAAATTCCTCAAAATCACGCATATCTGCAACTTGATCTAGCGCCGAGGCATAGCTTTCAGCTGAATCGAAATTTGGATCAGAACCTGTGCGACTCATCAACGATCTGTGCGAATGTCTATCCTCTTCGTTACCGTCCTCGAGCGCATGACCCATACCATCCTCCTCTAACTCATCAGATGGATGGTTCATCCCGAAATAGTACCGAGCGTTGGTCCAAGAATAGTAATTCACTTTGTTCTTGTAATGTGTAGGCCATATCAAGTAGATTTTGTATTTCACGACAAAACTCAGATTCCTCAGCAGTGGTTAGCAAAGCGGGAACACCACCTGGTGAATTGTGTGCCGCTAGCGCATCCTCCCAATAATTTATTACTGTGTCCAATGCTTCCATTCCCATCACGCCGAGTTGCTGGGCGGTTAAGTGTAGAACTATTGCACCTGTTTGACTTTGTGCAGCGGATAAAAGTGCGCCAACGCCTATAGATCCGGATGCCATGGACATGCGATCCGAATAGGCGACAGTAGAACCCGGAGGACTGCCGGAACGTGCAGATGCTTTTGAACCAGCTATGGATATCAAATCATTGGGGCTACGCATGCTATTTCGCGCACGTCGACCCGTGTATTTGCGTGTTCGACGGGGCGGGCGTGGCGGTTTTCGACGTCGTAAGAACCGCGCAAGCACGCCAAGTAAAGCTACGCCAGCGGTGAGCGAGAAAAAAACAACCTGAATGAAAATGAGCAAACACCCATTTACAATTATTATTTATTATAGACTTTGAACAAACTATTAGCCACTCACCTTTTGCGAGGTAGTCATACGGAAGGGAAGCACGCGAATATCCGCCCATCTTGGAACTAGGCCTTGCATTTTATTTTAGTACTTTTTTATTTTACTTCTGAAGAAATTTAATATGTGCTCATATGCTCTCAACCATTGCTTCGGTTACACCTGATCGCGCATTCGAGGTTAGGTGCTGCAGTGATGCGATGTTATGATGCGTCGTTGTTCGGAACGTTATTAACGAAAAATAAAGAGCCGGCACACATACAATTAACTAAATTTATGTACATTGAACTAATAAAAATCACAAGGCCTTTTTAATGTCCGCAACTTACCTGTTTTAGTTTTTCTCTTGCCTATTGATCTCTAACATTAATCGATAGCTACATGTCATTCACCAACTGGTTTTTCACACTTTGCACTTAAGTTTTGAAAACAATTTCACACTATGCTATTTTACTTTGATAGACAAATATTTAATTTATTCTGCCTCGTCTTTGATTTTCACTTTCACCAGCGGAATTTATTAAATAAAAGCCAACAACAATTTCTATTGCATCACAGCGATCGGTGAAAAGGGATTTCCAAAATAAAAATATAACAGCGAACGAAGGAGAAACATAAACAAAGAATCAATTGACATTTTCACTAAAACAGCGTTGCCACAGTTGCATTAATCACAGATGTTTTTCCCTCGGAGCGCCCAAAATTCCCCAAGTAAATTAAAATTAGTTTTTCTAAAGTATTTTCAACGCAAAATGATTAAATTTTGTTATCAATAAATACAGAAGCCGATAATTATCCGCTTGATCCCGAGGGTGAAGTGCTCTGGGAGTGGGACCGCATGCAAGGCGGGGCAGCAGCCAAGCAACCAAAGGGCGAAAAGGCGCCCCTTCACAACAAAAACACAAATGCCGGCATCTTATCGAATTGCTGTTGTTGGTGTTTAGTAATTCTGACATTTCTGACGGCATGTTTATTGTTTATTTGTTTATTTCTTTTACACCATATGAAATAGTTGAATAAATTTTGTGTATTTTCCAAGTATTTCTATTACATTTTCGTACATTGCCAAAAAAGTTTTTGTATGTGATACTTGTTGGTGGTGAAGAGGTGGCCAAAATTATTATATACATGCGTATACATATATATTTATTAATAAAGAGTGGAAAATGTCGGAAGCTGCCAAAAGTGTGTATTACTTTAAAATTCGCAAATTTTTCTGAAATTTATCAAGGATCATTATGAAATCATTATTAACTTGTCTTTTAATATTCTATAGGTCCGCGCATTACTTCAATTATTGAAAATCAGTTGTTCCGGCGGCAACGGAGCATTAGGCAAAAGCAGTCCATAGATGTGCCTGATTTCGAGAAGGTAAATGACCCCACCCAATTGTTAGTTTTTGTGTTATTTTTACAATTTTTTTTAGACCTATGCTGTAATAATTTTCTCGGAAAAGGCCAAATTGCGCCATTGCCAAGATGTGGAAAAGATAATACAAGAATTTAAAGTACTCACAACGCTCGAGGTCGTCAGGTATGTATGTACAATATAAATGCAGCATAAGCCACCTAACCTCTGCTAGCCAATTTTTGCATTTTTCCTATTTAGAAAACCAAATGTTTTTCAAATTAACAGCATATATTGCAAAAAATACTTAAAATTACTCCCTTCGAAGGTTTGCTCTGATCTTTATGGGGAATTAGATTCCTCAACGGAACTTGGGTGGCTAAGTAATTTGAATTTTAATTTCGTTGTTTAGTTTTGCTTATAAAATGTTTAACGCCATTTAGTTTTTGTTAACAATGCGCGCAAATTATTAATAACAATTTGTGTAATTTCGAAATGTACTATTAATTTATTGTAATGTATTACTCTTTCAGCAAAACTGAAAAATACCTCTATTTGTCAGCCACCACAGAAACTTTGCTGCGTTTTGCTGATGAGGCCGAGTTAAGTAAGCTTACCATAACTGGCAGTATGCAAAAATTCAATTGTGATTGTATATCCGATTATCTGCTACCTGGTATGACGCCAGCAGATATTGTACGCGAATGTGAGGGCCCCGTACTCATAAAGGACGTCGTTAAACCGGCAATTATGTCGTACATAAGAAATGGCATGGTCGAGGATTTTTTTCCATTGCACAACATTGTAAGATCGAGAAAAATTGTTCCATGGTTGGGCTTAATATATGTTTTTCCGTAGGAGTATTTAGATAGATTCGCATTTGATTGGCGACGTCGTAACTTTCCGATCGAAGACATATGCAACTACTTTGGTTCGAGCATTGGACTATATTTCGGCTTTACCGAGTTCTACACAAAGGCGCTTATATTTCCAGCTATTTTCGGTATGCTGCAGTTTGTGTGGAATGTGAATTTGTCATTGGTTTGCAGTTTTTATGTGCTATGGACAACGGTAGTTTATTCTTTTTTATATTTTTATTTTTTCACATTAGAAACTTTATAAATTGACCTGCCTAGTGCTATTATTTTATTTATATATCTAGTATTTTCTTGGCTGCGCTACAGTTTATAAAGTTTGGAGTGTGCTTTAGTTTTTAATATAACCTAAAATTACTAATATGAAAAATTTTATATTTATAAAGATTTTCCTTGAATTGTGGAAGCGCAAGTGCTCTGGCTACTCTTATCGTTGGGGTAATATTGAGATGAGTAGTTTGGACAAGCCGCGCTCTGCTTATCATGGTGTGCTAAAGTCGGATCCAATAACGGGTAAAATGATGCTGCAATATCCAATGCGCTATACCTATCTGCAAATGTATTGCGTTTCCTATCCTGTGGTGCTAATATGCGTAGCTGCTGCTGCTTACTTTGCCTTGTATCAGTTTCAGATAGAGGCAGAAGTGTTGGCTGATTTTGGTGAGTCTGTGTTGTTGAATGTGCTTGAGGAGACATTTTTTCCTATCTTTATTATTATTATTTATTTACTACCATTTCCTATTGCAACTTTTTTAATCGAAAATACTTATTTCTAGGTCCTGACTCCTGGCTACTTTATATTCCTGTGATTGTACAATCAATACTGATTGCTATTTTCTCTTGGGCCTACGAGAAATTAGCCACATTTTTGACTGACCAAGAGAATCATCGTACACGTTCGCAATACGATCGTCATCGCGTAAATAAGTTAATGCTTTTTGAAATCGTCAATAATTTCTTTTCATTGTTCTATATTGCATTTGTGCTGCATGATTTGAAGCAATTAAAATATCAATTAATGATGCAGTTGCTTATCTTTCAGGTATGCCAGACTTATTTGCATTTCTACGAGCTCAAAATATGCTTTGAAACTCATGTTCTCATTTCTACTATAGATTGTTTGCATTGCTCAAGAAATCGGCATCCCCCTCTTAGCCGTGGTGCGTCAGAAATTCGTAAAATATATGCATAAAGAAGTAGATGAGGAAATAAAGAATAATGTAACGGACTTGGCACGCTATGAACAATGTTTCTACGAAGCCGGACTTGATCAATATCAATCGACCTATGAAGACTATCTGCAGCTGTGCATACAATTTGGTTATGTAGTTTTGTTTGCTGCTGTAGCGCCTTTTGCAGCTTTCGGCGCCTTAATCAATAACATCTTTGCGATGCATATCGATTTGTTTAAGGTTGGTGTATTCATATTGAACATGTTACGTCGGTTATGTGAATCATCTCAATTATAGCTATGCAATATATTCAAGCGTCCATTTGGACGGCGAGCTAAAAACATTAGCGCTTGGCAATCGGCTTTTGAATTACTTTCGGTGATGGCAATACTGAGCAATTGCGGTCTGCTTTATTTACAGCCAAACGTGAAGTGAGTAGAAACTTTCTTTTGAACGGAATATTAAAAATTGTTAATAAACCAGTTAAATTTAAAATTTATACTTCTACAACTCATTTTATCTCTTATTTCAGGGGCTTTTTCTCAAAACTATTTCCCCAAATGCCAGATATAACCTTTATACTTTTTGAACACTTGCTTTTGGGCTTGAAATTTGTTATACACAAAGTGATACACGAACGACCACGTTGGGTGCGTATAGCTTTGCTAAAGGCAGACTACGAATCGGACCAGGCTTACAAAAAACTGAAGTAAGTGTGGGATATGATATACTTAAAAAGCATTATTAAAAAAGAAATTTTGGTGCCTTTTTTTATAGAAAATTTAAGGCATTTAACAAAATGGACTAGGTAAAATGAACAGGAAATGAAGGAAATCCCTTAGCAAAACCAAATTACTGTAAACGATAGCTTTTTAGTTTATGTTAATTTGTTGCTAATGTAGCTATTGTTGCTGTTTCCAAATTGCTGTGCTCTGGCAAATTACGGCCTTGCCTATAGTTTTTCGGCACAATAATAGCAGCACAACAATAACATTCATATTTATTCTGGTGATTTTTTATTTAAATAATTTAGTTTACGCATTTACTTTATATGTGTTTATTTGAAGACTAAAAATGTATTTTATAAATATTTTTTTATGTATTATGTTACATTAATCGCCATATATTTACTTAATTTTTAGTTTTTTTTTATGTATATTTATATTACATTAATTTCTATAAGATACAAACGAAAAATTAATAGTTTCTCGTAAGTGCCTCAAATGTGCTACAGACAAATGCAATTACTTGAATTTAATACACAAATATAAATGCATACACACAAAAAAGATTAATAATAAAATTGTTACTTATTTGTCATATGAAACTTTTGAGCTAACGACTTCCTCTGTAATATCTAAAAGATAAAAATGCATCAATGGCATGTAAAATACCGGCGGCATAGCCAATATACTGTAAAAGAGCAACAAAAAAAAAATAAGGCGGTTAATACGTTAGTAGGTTTGTAAGTGGTTTTATAAAAATGTGTAAATATCAACGAATTTTTGAGAAAATAACCAAAGCTGATTAACCACAAATTAAAAAAAGTATTTTACGTTATTTGACATTCATAACACTAGAAATAGAGCCAAAAATTGCAAAAGCTAACAAGTTATTTTGTCAAAAGTTCCTCCTATAAAATCTCTTTGTTTGTACTGTTGTTGTTGTACTCACATATGCCGCTGTCATTGCTGGGTAGGCCCAAAAACCCGGTCGCACAAGAAATTGCGGATGCAACCACACAACACAAGCAAAGCCCATGTAGCTGGAAGAGCTGAAGTACATGCTACAGGCAACCGCATTGAAAAGTGTTTCCTGCATAGAAAAATTATATGTACATACTATGTAAAATAAAATAACTTAAAAAAAAACCATCAACAAGCAAAGAAGTGCCTACAAAGAGTGATTGTCTAATTAGACTTGAAGATTTCTCCGAGAAGCAATAGCATATCATTAGTATGGCTGTAGTGGTGAAGCAATAAGCGGTCGTTGTAAGCATGCTGGTCAGAGCCTGTCCAATTGTATCTGCTGCTGGTATTCCATAGCGCACCAATAGCCCTTCGCACAAAGTGGCCAGGGTTAGTTGTAGGATTTTTGTAAGTCCCACACGTGAAGTGACAAAACCAAAATTTACACAGGTACACACGCGACAGCAGCAAAGTTTAATGCCGAAACTTTGACCAATGCCACGCATACCAAAGGAATAAGACATGGCGAAGGAAATTGAGGTTTGTTATTTTTCTATACCACTCTAACTATGTATATACGTGGTTTATTTATTCCTTGAATTCTTTTATTAGTTTTGATTCTAAGTTAATTGTTTATTTCATTTTCCTTTTACAATTTGAACGCAAAATTACTGTCGCTTTGTACGATCACTTCCATTGACTGCATTGACTGTTGACTACACTAGCAATGCATAGCCTAGATGCATTGTCGCACAGGATATGCTAAAAATAGTTTCATTTCGTTTGTGATCCCCCCCAAGTAGACAGCAGCAGCTGTGACCTAAACATATCGTTTTCTTCTACTGCTGCATCTTTGGTTTGGTTCGCTTTGTTTACAAATTTTATATGCACAAAAATAAATTCGGTTGAGGCGTTAGCACGCGAATGCAATTGCGTGCACGTGTGCGACACACACATACATTTTTTTTCGAAATTCAGCTCTGTACACAAGTCGGTAGATTACTCATTAAAGACTTAATCGAATTTAAAACCAAATACTACATAAAAAAATTTGTTTCTATGTTTACTAATCACAGGCCTGCGAAATTTTAATTTTGTTTGCCCCCTCCAACAATTATGCTATTTTTTTGAATATCTACATACATAGGTATGTTAAATTAAAATATGTGCATCTTTGTTTTTTTTTTCTAGCATGTCGAGATTTTTTATTGGTGAAATGTACATATATTTTAGGATTTTTAGCAATTTGCAGAGAAATGCCAAAAATTAATTACTTTAGAATTGGATTTGTACTTAAAAACTTAAACTTAAGTAGTTTCGAAGATAACGCTAAGAAACTCGATAAAAGTTATTTTCTCAGCGTTAGCGAGCATTACTAGCGTCAACTT